CACACACTGCCCCCCTACACACACTCTACACACATACACTACCCGATACACACGAACTGCCCCCATACACTGCCGCCCCATACACACACATACACTGCAATACTCACACACACACACTGCAACTGTTACACACACATACTGTCCCACACATACACTGCCGCCCTCACACACTGCGCACATACTGTCCCCCTCACACACACACACACTGTACCACTCACACACACCACTGCTCCTATGCCCTACTACTGCCCCATTTCCCAGCAGACCTCAGGTAAGTTGTCAAACTGTTCTTAAACGGTTTGACTACTTACTCTGGGAGGGGGTCCCGGCACTATTGACACCATAACCACTACACTGAGCTGTTGTGGTTATTGTGTCTGGATTATTTCTTTAAATAATCTACAAGTGCCCCTCCCGAGATCAGGCTCTGGATCCGCCACTGCATGGGGGAACAATAAAATATAAAGGACTCAGGAGGGAGTTAAACACAGATGCAGCCATGACAGTGCCGCTTTTATCGCCAGGGATTGTCTGAACAGGTGATCCAGTTTGGTAGGTTCTAACTGGCTGAACATGGGATCCAGTTTGGTAGGTTCTGATTGGCTGAACATGGGATCCAGTTTGGTAGGTTCTGATTGGCTGAACATGGGATCCAGTTTAGTAGGTTCTGATTGGCTGAATATGGGATCCAGTTTGGTAGGTTCTGATTGGCTGAATATGGGATCCAGTTTGGTAGGTTCTGGTTGGCTGAATATGGGATCCAGTTTGGTAGGTTCTAACTGGCTGAACATGGGATCCAGTTTGGTAGGTTCTGATTGGCTGAACATGGGATCCAGTTTGATAGGTTCTGACTGGCTGAACATGGGATCCAGTTTGATAGGTTCTGATTGGCTGAATATGGGATCCAGTTTGGTAGGTTCTGATTGGCTGAATATGGGATCTAGTTTGGTAGGTTCTGATTGGCTGAATATGGGATCCAGTTTGGTAGGTTCTGATTGGCTGAACATGGGATCCAGTTTAGTAGGTTCTGATTGGCTGAATATGGGATCCAGTTTGGTAGGTTCTGATTGGCAGAATATGGGATCCAGTTTGGTAGGTTCTGATTGGCTGAATATGGGATCCAGTTTGGTAGGTTCTGCTGGCTGGGGCCATGGGACCCAGTTTGTAGGTTCTAATTGGCGAATATGGGACTCAGTTTGTAGGTTCATTGGTTGAATATGGAATCTAAAGCTTGTAGGTTCTAAATTGAATATGGGTTCAGTTTGGTAGGTTCTGATTGGCTGAATAAGGGGATCCAGTTTGGTAGGTTCTGATTGGCTGAATATGGGACCCAGCTTGGTAGGTTCTTGATTGGCTGAATATGGGACCCAGTTTGGTAGGTTCTGGATTGGGCTGGGGTCATGGGACCCAGTTTGCAGGTTCTGGGATGGCTGAATAAGGGACCTAGTTTGCAGGTTCTGGCTGGCTGGAATATGGGATCCAGCTTGGTAGGTTCTGGATTGGCTGAACATGGACCCAGTTTGGTAGGTTCTGATTGGCTGAATATGGGATCCAGTTTGGTAGGTTCTGGTTGGCTGAATATGGGATCCAGTTTGGTAGGTTCTGATTGGCTGAATATGGGATCCAGTTTGGTAGGTTCTGATTGGCTGAATATGGAATCCAGTTTGGTAGGTTCTAACTGGCTGAATATGGGATCCAGTTTGGTAGGTTCTGATTGGCTGAATATGGGATCCAGTTTGGTAGGTTCTGATTGGCTGAATATGGGATCCAGTTTGGTAGGTTCTGATTGGCTGAATATGGGATCCAGTTTGGTAGGTTCTGATTGGCTGAATATGGGATCCAGTTTGGTAGGTTCTGATTGGCTGAATATGGGATCTAGTTTGGTAGGTTCTGATTGGCTGAACATGGGATCCAGTTTAGTAGGTTCTGATTGGCTGAATATGGGATCCAGTTTGGTAGGTTCTGATTGGCTGAATATGGGATCCAGTTTGGTAGGTTCCGATTGGCTGAATATGGGATCCAGTTTGGTAGGTTCTGGTTGGCTGAATATGGGATCCAGTTTGGTAGGTTCTGGTTGGCTGAATATGGGATCCAGTTTGGTAGGTTCTGGTTGGCTGAACATGGAATCCAGTTTGGTAGGTTCTGATTGGCTGAATATGGAATCCAGTTTGGTAGGTTCTGATTGGCTGAACATGGAATCCAGTTTGGTAGGTTCTGATTGGATGAACAAAATAGTTTTTGCTCACTTGTGCCATTGCAGGGTCCACTACACCTGTACAGCCAGGGGCGAGCTGGGGCGGGGGACAGGGAGGCAATTGCATTAGTTCATATGGCAGATCATATGGGTGGGGCATTGTGATGCCACATGGGGGGGCGGCAAATTTTTATTTTGCCTAGGGCGGCAAAAATCCTTGCACCGGCTCTGATCCTGGGCAGGTGCACCAGTCTACTGGTGACCCACAGGAGGGGAGTGCACTGATTGCACTGCACTCTCCTCCTGCCCAGACCCGTCTTTACCGCAGTGCAAGTGCCCTCTGCCCCTAATTTACAGTGGCTCACACTCACAGCATGCAGAGCCTGAAGCCCTTTGCAGAGACGGGAACAAAGAGGTTCTGCAGCAGCTGGACGTCCTGCAAGCATTACATTAAACAGCTGTTCCCCATGCAGTCACAGGTGGCGCTGTGCTGGGAGATTGTGATTACTCTTCACTTCCTCCCAGCCTACCGCGCAGCGCATGGGAGAGAGAGAGGAGGAGGCATGATTTAATCTTACAAATCCTTATAAATTGGGGGGGATCAGCTCTTTTTCCACAGTTTATTGGAGTTTACGATGTCTGTATTAATATTGAGGTAACATCAGTGTGTGTCAGCAGGGCCAGCCGTTGGGGTGTGCACGCTGTGCGGTCACGCAGGGTGCCATGACAATAGAGGTGCCCCGCGGACAACACAGATCACAAGTTGGGGACACCAGCATATTCAATTTAAACAATTCGCTGGTGGTCCACTGGTGCGCACCAGCAGTAGGTGCAGTCAGATTATAGCATCTCCCTCGTGGTTCCGATGCTCAGTTAGTGAGTCAGAGCACAGGCTCAGAGATTCTCAGCCTGCGCTCTGACAACATTGAAAGTCAGAGCCGTGAAGGAGCGGGTATGGCAAAGAGCTACTGATTAGCATAACATCAATATCTGTTATAAAACCAGGAAAAGGTGGGCATGGATGGTGAACTGATTTGGTGGTGCACTTGACTGATTTTGCCCCCCAGGCCTAAGGCTGCCAGCCCTCCCCTGTGTACAGCGCTATAGAATATGTTAGTGCTACATAAATCATTGTAAATGTAAATTACAGAGAACCTATACTGCTTGCATTTCAGACTGCATTTTGTGTCTGTCCAGCCGTTTGTGTGGGATCAGTGTGACATGTAAATGGTTAGCCTCTCTCCATAATGGCACACGATGAGCTTATTTCGAGGTTATATTGTGGTAATCTGGGATGTTGTTGGCCCCGTGCCTTCATTCTGATATGCCGTGTGAATAGCAAATTAATTCCTTTATATTCACCCTTTAAATAAAGTCTCCTGTTATTGCACAAATGTCCTGCTCATGATTTAACTAAAATGTTCTTTTTAATTTCTTTAGAAACATGAACACCGATTACTCCCATCTCCACCTCCACCTGCACCTCTATATGTCAGCCGTGGTGGGCTTCATTGCAGCCACCACTTCGATAATTTACTACCATAATATCGAGACCTCCAACTTCCCCAAACTACTCCTAGGTAAGTAGTGTCACATTGCTAACAGACGGTCAATTAATCCATAATCTGGCCCAAACTGAACGAAACCTTGACTGAAACAAACTGATATATCACAGCCATATCTAAAAACATTGTCACACCCACTCAGGGTGGCAGTCAGTCTCACCCACTCAGGGTGGCAGTCTCACCCACTCAGGGTGGCAGTCTCACCCACTCAGGGTGGCAGTCAGTCTCACCCACTCAGGGTGGCAGTTAGTCTCACCCACTCAGGGTGGCAGTTAGTCACACTCAGTCTTTTTTTCTTTATTTTTTTATTTTCGCACTTAAATACCAAAGTTCAGGGTTACATTTAGTGACACCCATTCAGGTTAGCATTTTAATCCACGCACTCAAAGTGACACTTAATAACACCCAGCCTGGATAGCATTGAATTGTAATATGTGATTGGTTTAGGGGTTTTTGTTAAACATCTGGCTGATGGTCTACAAAAGCAATATTCCGTTTAGACAAGGTAACATAACACTAAGGTCTTTAGGGGCAAACTATATGCAGTGATCAGGATTTAGTCAATAATAAGGAAATTATATAGAATTTAGCACAAGAAGGAAATACAGGCCAGGGGATCAACCCTGTTTGGAGATGCTTTGAGAAACAGGTGATTGCCCATGGTTTGGACATGTTTTGTGGCGAGGTTGATTGCCCATGGTTTGGAGTTACTTTGAGGAGCAGGTGATCTCCCATGGTTGGGACATGTTTTAAGGAGCGGGTGATCACCCATGGTTTGGTCATATTTTAAGGAGTGGGTGATCTCCCATGGTTTGGACATGTTTTAAGGAGCGGGTGATCTCCCATGGTTGGGACATGTTTTAAGGGGCGGGTGATCACCCATGGTTTGGTCATGTTTTAAGGAGCGGGTGATCACCCATGGTTTGGTCATATTTTAGGGAGCGGGTGATCTCCCATGGTTTGGACATGTTT